GACCAGGATTCGACACCCCTGCTTTACAGGAAAGGATGAGCCAAAAAACAGATATGCAGTGAATATGTAAAAAGTTTTCATTCCCTTTGAAAGTTTTCCTCTTTTATTCCTTTTATTTTGAATCATAATCAATTTAATTTGGCCTTCTTGACAAGAATTTAGAAAAAGATTCTTTTGTCAAAGTACAAATTGATTCCTACTTTGTAATGTCAGAATATAAAATGTTGCATAAGTAATCGCAAATTCTCAATTCGACTAAGATCTGGGCTCTCCCTTGGCCACTCTAAAACATTCACCTTGTTGTTTTATAACCATTTCTGTGTAGTTTTGGCTGAATGCTTCTAGTCATTGTCTTGCCTACAAAGAAATCTTCTCCAAAGTCGCCTTGTCCTCTATTATTTCGCTCTACTTTGCTGCATTCATTTTACCTTCACCTTTACAAGCCTTCCAGGGCCCGAGAAGCATCCACGTTATGATCCTGCTACCACCATGCTTTCACAGTGGGGACGATGTGTTTGTGATGATGCACACTGTTTTGCGTCAGCCAAATGCAACGTGTAATTTGATCCGAGCTCGGACCAAAGAACCTTCTTCCAGTTCACTTCAGAGTCTCCCACATGCCTTTCTGTCAAACTGTAGTCGAGACCTTCATAAGTTATTCATATGCTTTAACTATTTTCCCAAGAATTTTGCAAAGAACTGACAAAGCCAAAGAAAATAAATGATAACCAGAGGAGTCCCTGAGCAAAATAAAATTGCTGGAGCCTCCAGCAGCATTCAGCATGCCATAATAAACTCCCATGAAAACCACAAGAAAATGAAGGGAAAACCATGGTGATAGCAGATGCCGGGACAACTGTGGTGGGTTGCCTGAAATGTAAAAAATGGTGTCTAAAACAAAGAGCTGCATTTTTCCTCCACCGCATGACAGCCTCTGTAAACACCTCACTTTTGATTTAGTAGGAATTGATGGAAACCTAAAACCTCTGCGCTGTTTCTCTTCCTTTTCTTCTTCCTCCCAGGCTACTCTGGCTGCCAGCCGTCAGTCAAGTCCCTCCAGCAGCAGCTCTTCTCAGACCACCAGCACCACCGCTGTATGCACTGTTGTTTTTCCTAAAGCCAATACAAGCCAGCAAAAAATGTTCTAAAACTGGTGCCACTGTGATATTTTCTCCCAGTTCAGCCACCTTTTTGAGTAAATAATTAAAAACATTCAAATTATATGCATTAAAGTGCCACACTGTCATTCCTCAGGCCAGTGTAACGTCTGGATCGGGATCTACGACCAGCAGCCGTCCTATGGGAGCCTCAGCGACATCCACAATCAGCCAATCAGTGCTGCTGAGTGGGACGGCAGGTGGGCAAGGACAAATGTACCTGAGGGTGAGTTTTATCAAACAGCTGATCCCTACCGCCACCTGACACAAGCCCTGTTTCTGTGTGCTAAACGACTGTCCTTTAATCTTGCAGGTCAACCGCTCCCTGAGAGCCCCCATCTCCTCGCAGCTCATCTTCATGCCCGGCAGCACGGCAACTGCTGCTGTGGCAACCGTCACCCAGCAACCACAGGCTCAGCAACAGCAACAGGAAGTGACTCCAGCTTCCTCCTCCAGCAGCCAATCAGATAATGATCAGGTTGGTGGCAATGATGCAGAAAATGTACTCTGTGTCCAGTTACTTTGTTCAACACTGATTCCTTCCGCAGCAAGATAACAACGGATCACTATTTTCGCACAAATGTTTCCACCTTGTTTCTATCTGTAGGTGCAGAATCTCGCCATGCGAGGTGTGTCCAGTCCCAAAGGTGTGGGTGTTAAGACTGAAGCCCCCGAGAGGAGTGACTCAGGTAAGGGGAAAATTAAGGTAGCCTGCTACCACAACAGAATCTGTGTCTGTTGGGTCACACAAAACACAACAACTGCTTTTCCCTGAAACTGATTCATAACATTGGCTTAAGCCACACGACAATGGTTTGCAGCTGCACTTGAGCGATGTGCACATGCAGCACATCGTTCGACAAGCTCACGTGTCCACAGTGTACTATGAAGTATACCTGTGTGGCCATAACAACCGAGTGGATGCTTTCCACTCGCTCCTGCTAATCAGATTAGGTTCCCACTTCTTCTTCCTTCAAATGAAATGAAAACCAAAGAGTCACTGTTTTACCACAGTTTGTAAGCTTCAGTGCTCATCACAGATGGTGCTTGACGTGTTTACAAAACAGGACTCCCAGGAAGTGTTAGAAGTGTTGCAGGAGCACCGGGAGCAGAGTAGCTCTGCACAAGGAGTCTTTGCTGAGGATGGTGGCCAAATTTAAATCAGTTTGGCATCTACTTTGAACTTGTTGATCACATCTCATATAACATGACACTGCAGTTTCCCTCCAGATTTGTTTTGGTTTTACAGCCCACAACTTTTCTGCTTACTGTCGCTGCTCTCTTGAGGATCAGCATCCGTAAATGTCGGCTCTACATTTCATTATCAAACTAAATGTTCATGTTTTACTCAATCACCCGTATTTAAAGTGTCTTGTCACTGCCCTAAGTGGCCAAACACTGCTTTATTCATGCAGGTTTCAATGTGAATATACTTTAAGACTTAACTTATTTTTCTGTTTTTTTTTTTTTTCCAGCTGCCTACTCTTTGGTCCAGCCCTCCCACCAATCGAGCGCCCAGTCCCCTACTAAACCAAGCCAGCCTCAGCCCCAGCCGCCCCACATCAAGATCCCCACCTACCCCCAGCCTGCGAATCTCAAAACCCACTCCTCCTCTTCCTCTGGTGCCTCATCTTCCTCCTCATCCTCCACCTCCTCCATCCCCCTCTCCCAGCTACTGCTTCACGGAACCCGAACCCTGACCACAGGGACCACAGCTCCCACAGCAGCACACACTCTGGTCCTAACATCCAACGCGGGATCTCAGCCCCACGGTTACCCCGTTGGCACGGCAACCATCAAACCAGCGGTAAACGCTCAGACTCTGGTGGTGCAACCTTTGCAGAAAACCTCACTCAGTGCCGAGAAATCAGGCCACGGAAACGGACCCATCCCCATCCAACCCAAAACTTTGCAAGGGTTGCGTCTGCCTCTCCAGCTGCCTTCTAGGAACCCTCCTCCCATCCTGCCCGCCCCACCGCCTGCCAGCAGCTCCACCCAGCCTCCCCAGCCACCACACATCCCGGTGCAGATAGTGGGGGCCCGACAGAGCACCCTGGGGAACGCCCAGGCTCTCGCCTTGGCCCGGGGCAGCTGCAGCCAGGACGGAGCCGCCGTCCTCAGCAGCTCGTCCAGCCTGCTTACCATGGTGGCGTCCATCGCTTCCAGGGAGGGCGGGGTCGTGGGCAGAGGGGTGGGGCTAAAGACGCTTCAGTCGCCCCAGGAGGCTCCCCCGTTGGCTCAGGTGTCTCATGTGCATCCGCAGGCCAATCAAAGCTCGGGACAGAGTCAGAACGGACCCCTGTCTTCAAACCCCGCCTCCTCCCAATCCCCTGCTGTATCGTCTCCTCCCCCCTCGCTGTCCTGCTCCTCCCTCTCTCTCCCCCTGGTGGCTGAAGAGCAGAGAGGAGCATCGGTCGGTGTGACCACCAACGGAGACTCATTGGGAGCTCAGACGCCGCAGGTCAGCTGATTACTGTTTATTAGTCACAATTGAGAAAACTGATGATGAGAAATTAGATTTTTGGGATTATTCTGAGCACAGGTTTCTTCTTCCTCATCCTCTTTTTTCCTGTTTAATTAAATTTCTACATGCCATTCCTTCATTCCAATGGAATACTAGAACAATGTAATATGAATACAAAAACAAAATATAACTGTATTCTATTAACATTACAGAAAAGGGGACATATTCAGATTGCTAATACATTTAATAAAACTGGGTATTATTAGCATTTTTACCCCCGCTGAAAAACCAACGCTGGTCCCTTTGTGGTACATTGCAGTTAGCACTCATTTACTTTGCTCTACAATTTCACACCTGTCACATTTATATATATATATCTGCAGCATGAGACAGCAGAAGGATTCACAAATGTGTCCCCAAAGAGAGAAATAGCTGTACACATTTACACACAAAGAATAACAGCAGTAACCTCCCTAACCCTCACTGTGAGCTTATTTTTCACTACAATGGATTTTTTTTTTTGGAACTAATTGTCTCTTTAGAAAATGAATTAAACTTGAGCTTAAAATCATGTTATTCTACATGTCTCATTTAATAATTTGCACAAAATGTATTCTATAAAAAAACTGCAAATTCAGCCTTGACCGACAGTCATGTCACACAAGTTTGGAGAGATTTCGGCTGAACTGCAGGTTGTGTTTACACAGCGAGGATATGGAAACAAGTCTAAAAACACAAGTCGTAGCATATCTGTAGTATGTTAATTCACCTTTTTATAGTATTGAAAAGTTGTTTCAGTCTTTGTTAAATAAATAATCAGCCTTTTTCTTCTTTCATGGTTTATGCCATCACAATGGTGTCATACTGCACAGATGATATTTTTGATGGTTGTACTGTTCTATTTGATGCGCAAGACTTTATGTTGACTTAAAAAAATGATTCCACAGTAAGTAGAAATGTTACAGGAGTAAATAAAACACTCTGCTTGGAGTTGAGAGAATTAAACATCTCCTGACTAGAGGAATGATTAGATCTGTAAAGAAAACTAACTCTTTCTCCAGCTGCTCTACTCTCATTTCATCTGTTCATTTGTTGGATCTAATCTTTTATTTTATTTATTTATTTATTTTTCAGGTTAAACAGATGACCAGCTCTCTTAAAAGAAAATCAGACTCCAATTCAGCCAACGATGAGGACGGTCCCTCTCCTCCACGGCTCCCACCCGTTAGAGAACGCACCTCAGCACTCCCGGCCAACCCTGTGGACGCAGGTAACAACACAGAAACATGTCTATGTGTATTACTCTCAGCAGGCTTATTGCTGCTGCTGAAAGATAACACGACTAATAAAAAACAATATTTACTTCCTCACTGCTTTCAGGCTCCGGTGCTGTTCCTCCTCCGACTGCCTCCTCTCCTTCTCCGGTGCTGTCGGTGTCCCGTGGGGCCTGCGGTCACGGGGAGAGAGCTCCACCTCCTCAAGCGGTGGTGAAACCGCAGGTTTTGACGCACCTCATCGAGGGCTTCGTCATCCAGGAAGGGGCGGAGCCTTTCCCTGTAAGTACACGGGAGTTGTAGTTTTAGAAGGAAATGCATTGAGAAACATCGGTCTGCTGTTGACTGAACTTTTTCATGCCTTTTGTGTTTGACTCACAGGTGTGCGGTCCGGTAAAGGATTCGACCGGCGAAGATTTGACCAACGACAGTCCAGACACGAACCAATCGGAGACGGTTACCACGGCAACAGGTAATAGCTGGGAAAGCACTGCTGCCTTCTTGGTGTGTTTGAGGATTGGAAATCAGAGATCTAACGCTGTGGCTACACTGAACATATTCAGCGTAGATTTGCTGCAAATTGTTTTCGTAGCTACACCTGCAGCGACTGTTTAACGTATTGCTGCGGCAAAACAAGATGGTGAGCTTTTATTTGGGATTGTTGTGGCGCAGTACAGCGTTGTGAAAACTTTTACCAAGTTTGCGTCGTACTGGTAAGTTAAGTTCTGCTGACTACAGCAGACTCTGTAAAGGATAAAGTTACCAAGCAACCACCAGCTGGTACTGGCATATAAATACCAAGATACACACTTTATGGTCCGTTCTGTGTAAAAGGGCCACAAACAGGTAGTGTAACAAATCTGAACAGAAAACTGGCCTGATTTTACTTCAGCAGTGGTGACATCAACAACACATGTGCACCACTTTTGTGCTGCTCTTAAACCTGTTGTGGGCGCTTTCATTGATTATAGTGGAACCACAGTGATGTAAACATCCATTAGTCTTCAGTGTAGCCACAGAGGGGGTGTAAAACATTGTCTCAGGTGTCATTCATGGTATTTCTGACTTGATATTATCTCTGTATGAGCTTGTGCACTATTTAAAATCCTCAAAATATGCAACAAAATATTATTTAATACCAATATGCTGCTGCTAAACAGCTGTGTAGTTAAAAGCCAGCGATGTAAATCTGTGCTTCCAGCTAAATGTCAGTGATAATCAGCTAATTAACCTTGCGAAATATAATTAGCATAGCATGGACGGAGGAGTACAGGGTTTTATGTCTTGTAACAAAATGGCCCTTGTTTGTTTGAACTGTTATGAACGGAAATAAGGAGAGGTTTTAATTACAGCTTTCAAGCTGGAAATTTCCCACCTCTGGCTCTGAGGGGCGGCATGACAACGCTGTGACAGAGCATGTCCTGTTTGCTCTGTGTGGGATGATGATGACAAACAAGATGTTGAAAAACGTTTAATGAAATTTGCAGTTTAGGATGTTTACATGTGTAATAATATCATAATGCAGTTTGTGGTATCAGAGTGCAACTGTGAAGCATGGTGAAGTTGTGGTTAAGGTTCTGTAACATTAAAGTAACCACAGCTTAATATTCCATCTAAAGGTTTATGTTCATATTGTGTCAGTATTTTATCAGTCTAATAACTTAAAAGGCAGACTGATGCCAACAGCACCTGATGAAGCCACGCTGATGGAGCATTAATTGTGATAAATGTAGTATACATGCAGAAATAAACACCAGATAAGTTTTAAGTTACTTTATTGTATTATTATTATTACCATTTTGCTCCTGTTACATTTTAACTCACTATGAGCTCATTTTTCACCACAATATAAAGTCCTGCACCTCTATGGAAACCATGGCTAGAAGGAGAAAGAACTCCAAAATGTCTTCTGTGCAGCATGACACAGTTGCAACACCATAAATCATAAAAGAGAGGAAAAAGGTTACACTTCTACGATTATTTGTTTTCCAAAAAAAAAGACTTGAATCAACATGTCCAACATTTTTCCAAGTGCCTACAGGTGTTGAATTTCCCCCTGATTACATCAATTGTGAATTCTTTTTCCTCCCTTGGAGAAGAAAGCAGAGTGTCTCATTGGTGCAGCTCTGGCAGCACTGCACCCGTCAATGCAACACATTTCCTGTAGTGCATATTCTAGAACTGCTGTATTTACCGTCTGCTCTCTCTTTCTGAACTTTCCCCTCAGTGCTGAAGTGTGAGTACTGTAAAAACTTTGCTCCTGCCAGCCAGTTCAGAGGCACCAAAAGGTTCTGCTCCATGTCTTGTGCCAAGAGGTACTTTCCAATGCATGAAATATATGATGTACAGTGGCGGCTATCTGAGAACGAATCACCGTACTGTCTCTTCTCATTTGCAGTGCAGATGCTGTGCTGTGACTGGGGTTTTCACAATACCGAAGTCATTGAAAAACTCAAAAAATGCTGTAGTTGTGGTATTATTCCTCTTTTATTTTAATTTTTTAGTTGTCACATTTTAAACTTGAACATCAAAATCTAATTTAAACTGATTTTATGTGTAATATTTGTGTATTATACCCCCCAAATTCTCCCGAAAACCTGATCTCAGCGTCCTAAAATGCTGTTGTGTGCGACAGTTTGAGTGTGAATTCTCAGGTGGTTAAAGCTGTATATTTCACAGCATGTGTGTTTCCTGTTCTCATCATTTGTTGGTACATGTGAGGACAGTAAAAATCCCATTTCATCCACTTTCCTCTTCATGTGAACTCACAGTACGTCTGTCAAACAGCTCAGGAGGTTTCGTTGACGTGTTGTCTTTTGAATTTGCTCCGTGATAAAAAGCATTTATTACATTCCCACTATGTAAACAATGCATCGCCCGCATTGTTTGTTACACTGCGTTGTCATATGATTTTACATTTTTCTGCTTCTGCTTTGCATTTGTCCCTTTGCCCACTACAGGCGTATAGCTTATATACCACGTATGGCGCAAAGAGACAAAAACTGTGTGTTGCTTCGTCTTGCTTTCAGTACCGTATATGTCACTCTTTGTCTACGATACAGTATGTATTGGTTCCCCAGGTACAACGTCAGCTTCAGGCAGCACTTCTGCGTGCGGCAGGGTCACAGCCAACGCCAAGCCCAAGATCACGCTCCGGATCAGGACCAGAACCAGGGTCACCTCTCCAACTCGGACGAGGAGGGAGGCATAGCCAGGAGGAGGGTTCCCCGCAGGACCAGCTCTGAGATAGCCAGCGCCAAGATAGCTGGGAGACCCATACCAGTCAAGGTGAGACGAGAGTCAGCAGGTGCTACAAGGGATGGGGTTTAAGAAAAAAGACAGGGAATTGTTTAATTATTAGCATCCGGCTCATTGATCAGGCTGTGGCTTTAGTTCGCCATGATGTAGCAAAAGACACCCAGCAGAGTTAAATCTGCTCTTATTGGAGGCTGGTGAGGATTAAAATGGTGCAAGATAGATTTAGAATTCTACTTATACTGTGCACCACAATTAGCAAAGAAGACTTGATAACGCTTAGCATTATCAGTCCATTTATTTGCAGATTAATTCAGTTCTGTATCATCCCGCTGAGAGAAATTTAGCTTTCAGCATGTTTTGCTTTAAAATGATGTGGACACCTAAACTTTATTCTCATTTGTCAGTATTAAAAGTCTCATTCCAAAATGATGTGATCTAACCATCTGAATGCCAAAATCTGCCAGCCAATTTGAGATTAAAAGATTTCCAAAAAGACACCATTTACAAAAACTGTAAAAACAGAAAGAATCTTCATCTTTCTGATGGTGCTTGAAGTACTCATGTGTGACTTGACATAAAAATTCAACAGATCTAAGCTTACAATCACAATATTTCATCAAAATCACTCTTCTACACGTCACATTTTAAAAAACTACCAAAAATATACTGTTGGCAGTAAATGGATTCTTTAAAAATCAGAAAATTCTGTGCTAATTTGCACAACAGTGGAGCCATTGCTGACTCAGCTGTGACCAATGGCTACGTGACAAAAATTGAGAGCGTTTTGTAGCTGAACTGCAGGCAGCGTTTATACAGGGCCTTGAGGAGACAAGCATGGAAACAGTTTAAAAAGTTAAATGTCAGTAGTATGAAAAGCCACTGTTTTTTTTTCCAGTGTTAGTAACACCTATGAGCACTTGGAAAAACATTAGATGTGGTGATTGCAGGATATTGCCATTTTTGAAAAATAAATAATGCAGAAATTTCACATTTCCTTTTTCTTTTTTGATTATTTATGGCATTCAAACTGTGTCACGCAGCACAGAAGACATGTTTGAGGTTTTGTTTCTTCTTGTCATGGTTGTTCTGTTTCCAAAGAGGTGCAGGACTTTATGTTGCAATGAAAAATGAGCCCACGGTGACGAAAAATGTGACAGGAGCAGAAAAGAGTCAGCCTGCTTGGTGTTCAGAGGGTTAATATGCTGCTACAACCAATTTCACAAGGGCTTAACTGTTGGTTGAAGCAAACTCGTAAAAGCGTTTCTTTACGGACTTGGCATTTTAGACACAGGAATTGTCATAGTGAAACAAGACACAAAGTGTTACCACAAGGCTGGGAGTGCACTTATCTAAAATATCACTCAGCCTTGGACCAAAAGTACACAAAAGTATGTGGGCAGACTTCATATGCGTAGTGTGGAGTAAACCTGTGATTAAAAACAGAACAACACACACAGAAAAAGCATGTAAAAACCAAACAATGCATTTTTGAGTTGTATACTTCATCTTTCAAACACTGAAGATGAGCTTTTGTGCCCTCTAGTGGCTGTTGTGAGGCCTCACTGACTTTACAACAACCCACGAAACCAGGATCAGCCACTTACAGTTGTTCTCAAATGTATTCATACCCTCCTATTAAAGAAGGAAAAAAAGCAGCTGTCACTGGAATAAGTTGAAATTGACAAAAGTATTAATAAATAAGAATTTAATGAAAACCATGACATTGCTTTTGAATTGTGGTTCAACAGAAATATTTTTAAAAAAAACTCTCAGTCAGACTTCTGCACCTGTTGACAGGTATTTTGATTTTGGCCCACTGCTCATCAGCACAGTGCTCTTAATTTGTCCGGGACAATTTAAAAAAAAAAAAAAAAAAAAAAAAAAAGATTCATTTCAATCACAATTCAAAAGTAATGTCTTATTCCACTAAATTATAATTTAGCAAAATCTATTTATTAGTACTTTTTTCAGTTTCTAGTTGTTTGAGTGACTGTTGTGAATTTTGCCTTTTCTTTAATGGAAGGGTATGAATAAATTTGAGGACGACTGTATCTTCTCTCGTGACGGCTGCTTCATTGTTTTAGAGCTTCTTATCTTTGACGTTCTCCTTTTTTATATACCATCAGAATTTAGCCTTGTGAGGCTTTCATCTCTTTATGCTCAGACAGGGTTTTAGCATTGCACCGCTTCACTCTAGTAAACAGTCAAACTAAGATACCAGTGCAACCACAGTTTCCTGCCTTGCTCATCGTCTCCTCTGCTTTCCCTCCCGTCACCCGCAGTGCCGTTCAGAGTCCAGCCATTCAGACGAGGAGTCCAGCGGGGAGGAGGATGAAGACGACCCCATGTCCCTCTCGCCTGCATCCTCAGCTTCCTGCCACCAGCAGCCTCCTCCACTCCCAACGGAGAGCTCGGCGCCCAGCTGCCTGCCGACCAGTCCGGCCCAGTGGAGTGTGGAGGACGTGTCGCAGTTTATTTCCTCGCTACAAGGTTGGTACAGCTGACTTCTGACCTTCTTTTAATGCTGTTTCAGGTGGTTAAAGACTAGCAGGACTTTAAAGTGGAGGGGAGGCGCTTTTTCTGACGATAACAACTTCATTGTTGCTTCACATAAATACATAGGACACTGCAGTCATACAGATTTACGATAGAGCCTGTCAGGAAAGTTAGTCAAATCTAAGCAGGTTCTGGTCATTTTCTGCTCCTGTCACATTTTCACTGTGGGTTAGTTTTCCTGCACCTCTGTGGAAACAGCACAACCACAACTAGAAGAAGAAAGAACTCAAAAATGTCTTCTATACAGTATGACACAGGTGCAATGACTAAAATCATAAAAAAAAGAAAGATTGATAGTTTAATTTTCTTTTTAAATGTATTTTCTAAAAATAAAAAAAACAACTCATCAACACATCCAACATGTTTCCATTGTTTTCATACCTGCCTTCTTTCAGCTCTGTGTATACACTGCCTGCAGTTCAGTTGAAAACTAATGATTACCTGGTTGCATCAAGAAACAGATTTTTGTGGCAAAATTTTAAATGAGGCATGCTTAATAAAGTGAGTTTCATTAATTATCGTGATTTTACTGGATGTCATAGAGGACAGGTCCAGTTTCTGTCTTGTTTTCTTTCCCACATCTTTGTTTCCCGTATCGTTCCAATCATTACCTACCCCCGTTTTCAGTTTTCACCAAACAATACAACTCAGTAGTGTCTTTTCTGGTATTTTATTCAAGTGCTTACGAATGGGCTGATAAGCATTCCCACATCTTTGCGGTATAGTGATGCACAGGCTTGTTACCCAGAAAGAACCCAAGATTTCTCCCATGAAAGCTGAGAGAATTGTTGAGAGTTGTATTTTTCCAACACACGACTTGTATTCTTCTTCCTCTCAGGCTGTGAGGAACTCGCCTCCCAGTTCCTGTCGCAGGAAATCGATGGCCAGGCTCTGCTGCTGCTGAAGGAGGAGCATCTCATGTCCACCATGAACATCAAGCTGGGTCCTGCTCTCAAGATCTGTGCTCACATTAACAACCTGAAAGATTGATGTCCGCGTTTCAATAAATCCACCGATGTTTAAGCCCCGGGCATTCACCCCAAACTCCTGTTCTGCACCCAGATCAGACGTGAAACTGGCTCCAGAGCAGGCGAATGTAAGAGGTACTGTTCATTTTGAGCCGAGACTGTGGCTGCAGAGTCTGCTGTTGGCTTGTTCGGTCACATTTGCACAGGAATATTGTCGCTTCCTTGCAAAGCTGTCATGTCTGCAAACATACTACAAATGGCCAGCTATATTTTGTTGTCCCCAAAATCAGTACTTGCAGTCAGAAGAAGTCTTTTAAAAAAATGCATAAATGAAGGTTTTGAATGTATGTTAAATGCAGAAATCACTTGTAAGATGTAATGAGCAAACAAGGAACAAGTTAAGTCTACAGTACCTGCACAGGATTCACACATTTTTGAAGTTATCTACAAACAGAGCTGCTCTTTTCACAGACTTCTGTTATTAAAGTCATTTGTTAAATCTCCTTTTTCAAACTGGGTTCAACTAAACGATTAAAACAGAAGGAAAACCTGATGAAGACACTATTTTTTTATTCGGTGAGAACGTCTCTTGGTTCCCATCTGGTTTAGCACTCGTGGCTTTTTCTTAAATATGATTGCAATTATCGCTCTTCACCTAATTGAAGCTCCAGCCAGCACTGAATTCAAAACACATGGATTTCGTTAACGTCATAGAAAGAATTATGTATCATTTTAAAAGATTTTTTTTTTCTTTCCAAGAAGTATTTAGTAACAAAACACTACTGTTGATCTTTAATGTCATGTATGTAAAAAGTGAGTACTTTCAATGTTATAATTATTTAGTAAGAATAGGCAGCATCGTGTATACATGGTGGCACTTTTATTTTGAAAGTGCACCTATTCTATAACTTACAGGGTACAGTGAGAGTACAGGGTTACTGGCTGCAAAGACGCCAGACCAGAGTCCAAATGAAACCCCCCTCAAGGTTCAGAGAGCATTTCATATTTTAAGTAGGGCAGAAAAAAACAAAAACAAACAACCATATGGTTTCACCCTCTTTTTATATACAGAGCACATCAGCAGCAGACACTGCTGCAGAACGCTTTTCCAACAACCAATTTTACATCTAGAGTTTTACACTCGGTCTTTTTAAGCTTTTTACCAGAGGACTTACATGTTGACTCTGATTATTTATTCGTCAGCCATTTTCAAGATTATTGTTTTATTCAGACGGTACAACCAGCTGCTCCCGATCCGTGTACAGTTACACACGACAGGTGCAAACGTCATCGGGGTTTTGTGTAGCGACATTTAACAGAAATGCTGAATGGAAATAAGCTGTTGATATGTCTTTAAGCTGCGTTCGTGAACAAAATGAACAAGTCCGTGAAGAAAAAGAGGCCGACAGCTACACGTGGACCTAAAAAAAACAACATCATGCCTGAAGGAATGACTGTGTGAATGAGAAAACTGTTAACTATACTGTAATAAGTGTAAAATTTGCCTTTATATTTAAATGCACATTTGTTTGCTGGACTGCCTTGTTTAAGCTTTTTACTGTAGGAGTTTTCTCATGTTCTCTCTCTGTGAACCTCGTGGCCTTTCTCACTAGTCTCTACAGTAGGTTTAGATGAGGATTGTCTGTTTTTTAACTGCTTTTCATATCATTCCTTGTTTTATATTAGTGCTTACTTTTTTACGATTGTTATTTCAAGCAATGACATCCGTTGCCTTTCCCAAAAAGCGTGACTGAATAGTAGCTACCTTGATCAAGGAAACTTGCTGTCTTCCTCATAGCTTTGTCACATAGCGTGTAACTACCAACAGTATTTACCTTTCTAGCTAGCTATCTTTGGCTTTATTGTTAGTGACTGTGGCTATTACAGTATTTTCTTTAAAAAAAAAAAAAAAAAAGGATATTAATCTTTGATAGCTGTGTGTTTATGTTTCACAGTCTCCCCACGATTTTGGAGTCTTTAAATCAGCAGGTCCCTCCGCATATTGTGAAGACCAAAAAGAAGAAAAAAAGGACTTGAACCTCATTGCAAGCGATGTGAGCCACAATTTACTGCTGTGATTGCCTGCATAACATTTGTTAATAAGCAGACCTTTGCGACTTTGTCCATTTGATCTTCACTCTCCCAAAAAGTAGCACTTTTCTCACAAAATAACAGTGGATTCTGCAAAAGTTCTTTTTTTTATATATATAGATATATGAAGAAGCTACTTTGGAATCAAATGTGTTTGCTTGCAATAATCAGAAAAACTGCAAAATCTTGGAGGAGCTGAGTTTGACAAGGAGAGGTTAATACTATCATGCAAATAAATAATCAATGAACTGTTTTAAAACTGTGATGCCTGTGTTTTTTTATTCTTGTAATGAATGCGAGCTAACCCCTGATGTAGAGAGATGATGGTGCTTCTATGTAGGCATTTGCTTGTTAGATTGTGCAGTGATTTCAATGTCTCTATTAGCTTTTTGACAAATAACAACAGCTCTTTAGGGCTTATATGAGCAAATTGTCATTTTCAGCATGGCAATTTTGAAGGTCTCCCATTGTGCTCCTTTTCATCAAATGAATGAAAGTCTCACATGTTATAATGTCTTAACATTTTAGCTCAAGATGCTGCAAAGATGGTTTATTTTATCCTGACTTTATAACTCCTCACCTTATTGCTGCTCTAAATGGACTGCTTCAGGAAAAAGAGTCTCTTTGCATCTGTGATTGACAGTGTGACACAACACGGCAGCCAACACAGATGTGAATGGGTTCATGAGACCAGGACTTTTTTTTTTTTTTTTTTAAATCACTTTGATCTTTCTCTCTGAGCAATAATTACACATAGAAACATTGCTGAATTCACATCATTTGTGTGTATGGCAAGTTTGTCAGAAGGTCTGATGTAGAAAATCAGTAGTTTCGTTTATAAAAACCTAAAAATGAGAACAGCTTCTTTGGGAACCTGGCTATTATAAGATACAGCATAAGTGAGCGCAGAGCAGGAGCGAAGAAAACATGTAAATAGGTTACATAAAAACACAGTTACTTTGCCAGTTCCTTGTTAATTGTTTGGAAAATCAAAGTTTCCACCATCTCTGAATGTCTCTCAGTGTGCTACACAACTCTGACCTGCAGACATATGATGGCAACTAATTGTACCGTTAGCCATAAAAGCTGTACAATGCACTAACGGTGAGGACTTTCCTATTGTTTTGGGAACATTGCGATGAAAAATAAAGGTTAATCCAAATCAGTTCTTAAGATGCTGGTAGTGCATGAAGACTCTTCTGTTCACCTTTGCAACTGAAAAACTTTTGTGGTAACGTTTTACAGCAAAGAACTAGAAGTAGAGAGAATTTGATGACAGTGTCACTGTCAGATTTTCTCTTGGCGGATAATTATTATTCTTAGATTTTTTTTTTTTCAAAATGTTAATGACAACTGAAGCAATGTGCATTTGAATGCATCCTATTAATCTCTAATTCTGTGTTGTAATGATGCAAAAAGCTTTCAGGTCCCAAACAAAATAGGGGCAGAATCATTCCATGGTCCATCAAAAAGGAGAAACTAACCTCTGCTCTTAACTTGATATGGTGAAACAAGTATTGTTTTTTATTTTCAATCGTCTTTCAGGTGACAATAGTGATTGTTTACACAAAACCAGACATATTTACAATCAATATATTACTCTTAAAACATATAAAGTGATTGTGCTTCATAATACCAAACAAGTACAAAACAAAAATGGTGATAAGAATTAACAGTGTTGTCCATGTTGGTAATTAAGTTCTCCAATCTTGAAGCAGTCCACATGGCTGGCAACACTCAGCCAATCACAGCACAGCATAGTTGTACGCCTCTCCATATCCCGCCTCCCGCAGGTATTTCTCGAAGCTCATTGGTTCGGGCACTCTGAGAGCCGTCGTCCCATTGGCTGATTGTTCTCCCGCTTGAAGCTTTCTTATCAGCTCGGACATGGAGAGTCGCTGTTGGGGGTTCCAGTGGCAGCACGACCTGATGATGGAGTACCTGCGAAACCAAGTAAAACACGGTGAAACTCAGCGACAGTATTCATATTCAGAGCCACAGTTAGCAGGTTGTTACAGCGTTTGTTCGTCGTGTTGGACCGCTTTTGAAGTCTTTTGGAGCCAACTCAAGATTAGCTAGTTAACCGTTCATTTAGCATAAATGTTTGCTAATGAAATGTCACCTATTGACATGTAGTGATGGGAGGTTATAACCTAGAATGGACACTTGTTTTCAGGTTAATAAGTGAGAAGAGGGATATTATGATTGTTAATAATGCAGACAGTGTAGGTAAACTCTTAATGATGTCTGAAACAGCATTAAAATTTGTTATACTTATTTGTTAAAATCCAAAAACGGGTGATTTTCTTGCTTTTTTTTCCACATGCAGACCACATTAGACCTGGTCTGGATTAAAAATCAGGATTAGATTGTCATACAGTGGCTAAATTCTATGGAAACCACAATAGCTGACATCTTAAACCTTAATTATATTTGTGAAAATGTCAAAAGAGAAAGAAAAGTTAGATTTCACTGCCATTATGAATCTAGACCTCAGTAGAATGGGTCTAGATTTATAACCACAATGTATAAACAGGTCAAATCCGAGCTAGATTGTCTCAGGGAGGCTTAAGATTCTTTAAAACATCAATCCATTATCTATACACCGCTTAATCCTCATTAGGGTCGTGGGGGGCTGGAGCCTGTCTCAGCTGACTTAGGGTGAAGGCAGGGGACACCCTGGACAGGTCGCCAGTCTATCACAGGGCTACATTTAGAGACAGACAACCAAGCACACTCACATTATGGACAATATAGAATCACCAATTAACCTCAAAATGTTTTTGGACTGTTGGGGGGAGCCGGAGAACCCAGAGAGAACCCACGCTGCACACACAGTTTCCGATTTGTTATGCCTTTGTTTTATTTGGGAAAATACTAAAAAGAGCGATTTAACAACTCGTTTTACATGCAGAACCCAGTAGAACAGGTCCAGAGCTGAAACCAAGACATATCGACTGGTTAAATCTGGACTAGATTGTCCTACAGAGACTAAATACTCCTTAAAACACTGTTTCTGATTTGTGAGGCCTTTATTATGTTTGTGAAAATGCAAAAAAAAAAAAGAAGAAAAAAACAAAAAGGGAAGACACCCCTGCTTTTTGCACATGTAGACCACATTTGATCGTGTCTAGATCAAAAAACACTACAAACAGACTGGTCAGATCTTTACTAGATTGTCCCACAGATGCTAAAGATTCTATAGAAACACAATTTCTGATTTGTGAAACAGTTACTTTCACAAATACAATTACCGTATATGTGAAAGTTTATTAATGGGAGATTTCTCTGCCTTTTTCACATAAAGACTACATAATGAGATCAGGTAAGCACAGTCTCTGATTTCTGAAACCTTTATTTTATTTTTGAAAATGTGGAAAAATCAAATCAAGATTTCACAGGCCAGAGACTTTGTTTTAAAAACTCTTAAGCCTCTCTGCCACAACCTTGTCCCAATATGACCTATCTATATATCGTGGTTTTTAAATCTGGACATGGTCTAATGTGGTTGCATGTGGGAAGCAAAACAAAACCGAAATCTCCCATCACAAATTGTGTATTAAAGACATTTTGCTTCGTAGGACAATGTAGTGCAGATTATACCGTACAGTGATTCCAGATCTGAACCTGGTCTAATGTGGTCCAAATGTAAAAAAAAAAAAAAAAAAGATGCGCTAAAGTCTTCCTTGTTTGCATTTTCACAAATAGAATAAAGGTTTTACGAATTTGAAATGGGGTTTAAGACGGTATTAAGGGTTTGTCAAAAATGTCTAATATAGTTTTACATCATTTAAATGTAAAATAAAGGGAGAATCAATCAAACAGCGCTCGAAGTTAGATTTTTTTTTTTAACTTCTGAATGGAAATGGACTTTAGTATTGGAACTAAAAGTAATTACTTTGAGCACTTTGGCACTAATGCTCATGATGCTTAAGATATTTTAAATCTCTTGTATGACTGAATCATGTGTCAGTACAGAAAATAAATTATGCTCGAGGCTTGTTTTTTTTTTCTTACCAGTGTTGGAATTTGTTGATATTTTATACATGCATAAATCAGCTGCACCTCTTAGGCCCTTGGATGCTGTTTATCATTCTGCATTGAGATTTGTTACCAGTGATGATTACAGTGCTCTTCGCTGTGAGCTCTATGTGCAGTTAGTTGGCTCTCCCTCTCTGTGTGGATTGATAGACTCTGGATTTTATTTATTTGTTTATGAGGCCTTTACTGGTCTTTTACCCTCCTTTTAAAGAGGCCCCAGGTGTACCCACTCAAATGACTGAATTACAGGTTCCTGCTGTTTTTCGCTGAGCTTGGGTAATCCAGTTTAGCTCATTGTGCAGCTGAAACCCGGATTAACCTGCAGAACAATCTAAAGCTGGACTTGTTTTTATGCTCAAGGCAATTTAGGTTTCTAGTTTTGTCTTGTTTTACTTCCAGCTTCTCACCTCATTCAGAATCCTAGTTGCTGTTCTTTATTCTTAATGGCGTTATTTTGCCAACTTGCTTTTTAAATATTTGTATTGCTGTTTTTTTCTCAAATTTTTTTGTTGTTTGCCTGTACTTCCTGTTTTTTTGTATCTTTGTTTGACTATATTGCAAATAAGGCCTCTGTCTCAGTGTAAGTCTGAGTTTAAACAAAGGTTGATTGATTATTGACATTTGTCTAAGCACACAGTGGTAAAAAAAAAAAAAAAAAAAAAAAAAAGGTTATCGTTTTTCTAATAGTTTTGTGGTGTGAGCAGTGCCTGTGATGCCTGAATAAGCGAAAGGTGAAGTGATGCATCGACATGCTGTCAACACAGGATAAGTGGTTGATGAAAACTGCCACTCCTGTGCAATGTTGGCATTGGACAGCTCATAAAAACAGTTTTCTGCTGCTGTTCTTACAGTGAGGTGGAGCATGTGGCTGGCCGTTTGAGATGCTTTCCTCTCTGGAGATGCTGCAGAAGTTCAGTTGCCAAGATCTGAGCAAATGGTGGGTCACCTGAATACATCACAGTATTATGTATTAGACTGATATCCTGTTACAGACAGTTTAGGCATTATATTTATTCTTTGCACTTTTATGATTCATCAAATGAACAACTTTTCTTGGAAAATATGTGTAGACTTTAAAGAATACCCACCTAATGTGACCATTTCATAGAGGAGGATGCCAAAGGACCATCTGTTAGAAATAGGTGGAGAAAGCTACATCAATACAAGGAATTACAATCTACTCTCAGATTGAATTATAAACAGAATATAGAAGAAAAGTGTGAAAATACGAAATTTCTATTCCCTGTGCAGGGTTTTTCTTGGCTCAAAATAGACCCATGGGTGAAGACTAGAGTATAATTGCATAATTGATGAGTCTGTGTTAACTTATCTAAAAGAAATCTGCATTTTCCAGTTATTAAAAAAAAAAAATACAAACATTTTTTTTGTCATGCTCAGTTCTTATCATTTTGGCTCAATATCTCTTTGGGGGGAAACAAAGAGTTCTCTATGCAGGAGAACAACTGCTCTTCTAGTATTTGACCCTCTGAACCTGAAACAGTTTCTGAACGTTTTTTTTTTTTTGCTCTTCTTACATTTTTGCTCACTGTAGGCTCATTTTTCACTGCAATATAAAGTCCCACACCTCTATAGAAACAGCACAACCATGACTAGAAGTAGCGAGAACTTAAACATGTCTTCTGTGCACTACGGCGCACTTAGAACGCCAAGATCATAAAAAAGTAAAACAAAATCAGCATGTCCAACATTTTTCAACTTTTTTTTCAATTTTTACAACTTCAATATTTAATTTCTTTCTGTACTTGTCTCCTTTTTGCACTTTGTTTTTGTCCTTGAACTAATCTGATGAGTTCAAGGATGCCCGAAAGGTAAAAATCTCACTGTTCTTTCATCATTTTACCATTTTTGGCTGATTTAACAATTTAATTTGGTTGGTTTCCTTCTTAAATGATTGCATTTTAAACCTGCTAGTGGGTTTTGGGATGAAAGTAGTGATGCTGGATGTAGCATCTACATGGATTTCCAAACGCAAAATGTGAAGACTAAGATTAAAACCGTTTTTTTCTAGTATTATATTGTTCAGGCTTTTAATTTTTGATTGCATAAAACAGTCCTGCTGATCTTTGTGTAGGAGGTGGGCTGTAAACTGTTGATGTAATCTAGCTGAGCGCTGTGCAGTGGCAGTGACATGTACAAATCAGTACAAACTTAACATCAAGTGAAGTGGGATCTTTGACAGCTCTGTATAGGACATTTCGGTGACTTGTTTAATATTCAGTAGTCTTCAGTGCATTATTTATTATTCCCCCTGAGGACTCGGACACTCACACATCGCTGCCCTGACTGATGATTCTCCTGGCCAATACTTCAGGTGCCTGCCATTTCCTCAGCTCCATGTCCTCCACCTCCCCCGGTGAACCAGCCTGTGTTCTCTTGCGGTAGGCCGGGCCCAATCCCCACAGTTTAGCGGTCAGGTCTCCACCAACCAGAACGCTGCGAGCTCCTATGTTGCCATGGATGCAGCGCTGAGTGTGCAGGTAGTCCTTTATGATGTCCAGAAAAAGACCAGGAAATAAGAGGCATGCTGAAAATACAGTCGTTTAGCGGCTGGCCGTGGAGTAGAAAAAAATCCACACTGCAAGTGTACTACTAAACAGAATTACTTCATTTTGATACATGTAGTGGTTCATTGTGTTTATTCATATTGTTTTGGATTCAGCTGACATTATAGCGCTGGTTAGATTAAAAACTTTCGCAGAATAAAAGCAGATTAGTTTTCAGAAAGAAGAGCAGGTGAGCAGTGAGACAGAGTGAGCTCTCTTCCAAGTACACAAATACAGTTTTTTGATTCATGAAGCAGACTGTCAGAAGGGCAGACAGCAGTTGAACCAACCAGAGCAGAGGCCACTTGTCCTGCCATGGTGAAGATCCTCTTCTCTGTCATATAAGGCTCTAAACTTGGGTTTTCCTTCAGTGAAAGAGAAGCAGAGTGAAGAAATGTGTCAATGTTTTGGACTTGTTTTCGTCAGACAGTAACCTTTTACCTCTCTGTCTGTGTTTATAATCAGCTGCTACACCGGACCATATATATGTCAGGCCAGCGTGCCACTGTGAAGTGTGTCGTGTTACTTAAGGATACCGATTCTCTGGTTTCAGTTGTAGACTATGTTGCTCTCTACTGCCCCACAAAGGCAATCGGGAGTAATTACTTTATCTGCATGACATCTGATGAACATCATCCAGTTAATTTAACTAATTTGGGGAGTTAGTGATATAGTTGATGTTTACTTGTCATTCGTTTCTGAGATTTTAAGTTGCTTCAGTGATAAGGTAATGCATTTTGTGGTTTATTGTACCATTATATGCATTTATCAGCAATACATGACCACAACCAATGCTGCTCTAAATGTTCCCTGATAATATTTTGGTCTATTTGTTTTTTTATTTGCCTGTTTCAGAGTTTAGACAGGGTTAAATAGACTGATTCAGTTAGAGATGATACAAAAAGTGGTAAATTTGGCTAATTTCTGAAATGAACAAGGACCTGCCTTGAAGTTTGTGACTTGAACCACAATGTAAACCTGTCACTTATAGTGTGAATAACATGTCTTGATGTGTAATGCATTGCTATACCTGTCTACAACTCCACAGGAATCCCAGCAGGTCTCTGTGCTGTAGCTCTTCCACCACCATAACTAGAGGCGACTGCACTGAAATGACGCCCAGCAGCGCAGGTATGAAGGGGTGTGGCCCTAGTCCAGACACAAAGGACGCAAACCTCAAAAAGTTCTGTTTCTCACTGTTGTTTGCTGTGTCTGAGGAGGAAGATCAATAAGAGAAATTAACAAAAAATGCATTTAAAAAAAGCAGTTTGAAACTAAAAACATCCTGCTTCACATTTACAGTCACAGTGCTGTATGTTTGAAACTTAGCATACGTTTGACCATAACAAGAAATATAACCCTACTTTATGATCAAATCATTGAGAGCTTTTGAAACTGGAAAGTTACCAGTAACCAGACTAACTTGCAGTTGCTCATTAAAGAGAGAAAAAAAACAACATTTTTTGCACTTCCTTAGCAGCCATGCAGTGAGTAGTTGGACCTCTGTATTAGGGGTGTTGGCTTGGAACAGGTTGGTTTACCTTTCAACACCCTCAGGACGACATTCCTGTTGTCCATTCGGGCTCTGTAGAGGCTGACTGTGTCGCTGGTCTGGATGGCAAAGGTCTGCGGCAGTGCAGTGACCTGGCTGAAGGCTCCATGATGCCTCCCTGTGGACACCTGTGGCGCTGCAGCCAGAGTTGGCCTCACATTCTGCTGCACATGTTGAACTGACATTGGCACCTCTTCATGTTCTAGTGGGTTAATCCCAGGGGGAGCTGTCGAGAGAGACAAAACAATTCAGAGCATGTGTAGTTTGGAAAATTGAAATATAGAACATAAGATTTGAAAAATGGCCACTTGTACATGCTTGCTAACCATCAATGCCCTGTAGGTGGTTTCTGTGGTTGTTCCTCTGTGTGTGTCGATGCGATGAGCTGTTGTAGTGTTGAGGTACTGTGACCAGCCTCCTCTTCCGTTCAGCGCAGTACCTCAGTATAAACAGGGGCACCAGGGTGATCAGGGTGCCCACGAAGAGCAGCGTAGGGACAATGATCACTGCCTGCTGATGCGTCCTTATTACTTGGAGAGAAAGACAGAAGTTGATGTGCTATGCCAGTTCCAGTAACACTGTGCAGTACCAAGAAGAAATGAAATGAAAAAATGAAAAATACTTTATTTATCCCAGAAGGGAAATTCAATCAAAGACAGTCTGAAATGTTGTAGCGGCTTGTTTTTTTTGTTTTTTGTTTTTACTGAACTAAGGAGAGTACAGAAATACACCACAGCTATGACTGTTATACAATTTTTCTAAATACACCATGCCTATGGTTGGCCAGGAAACCCACGAGCAGGTTTAAAAAGTACACTTTTATCATAAAAAGAAACTAAAATTAAAGAATGGATTTTCAGTTGTGAGGCAGTTGTTAAACTGTCATCTATGACATTTCCATTTAATCAGAAAAACTATCTAAATTTCATGGAGGTGCAATACTTTTTATTGCAGTGAAAAATGAGCCCACAGTGACAGAAAAATGTGGCAGGAGTATAAAACACTCAGAAAGTGCTTGGAATTCAGAGAGGCTGGCTGTTGAAAAGGTTGCACTTCCTGTTGACAGGATGTTCTATCTTGACATTACATCATCTTCCATTTATACCAGTGTTAATATGTTGCTCAACAAGACTCAAATCTAGCAAAGGCTTTTAGTGTATGAATGCAACTATCAATTCAGTCACTGTGGAGCTTTTAAAGTCTCTGTCCGGTTGTTGATTTAAACCCTAAAAATTATTTCCATCCACCCCTTTGCTAATCAGTACAGCCCAAGCACACCAGCTCACCTAGAGTCTGTTTAAGCACTGTGAAACTACTTTACACTACAAATTGACAAGTTGTAGTATTGGACTATTTCAGCTGTCCATGTTGGAACCAAACACTGATTCTATGGAAGAGTAATGCTACAGAAGCCCCACCCTGCAGGCTTTAAAACCCTAAAAGTCTAAATCCGAGTTTTTGAGGCTGTCTTCAGTATACTGCTTCCATGGTATTCACTGCTCATTTTTACTTGTAATGTGTCTTCAAACATGTAAAAAACACAATATTGACATGTTAAAACAATGGAATTTAATTGGAGAGAGTGTTAAAGCTCTGTCCATTGTAAAGGTACCAAAAATAGAAAAGAGATTACAAATCTTTTTTCTAGGTTGCAGCTTAGTCATTTGCACGCACAGCTCTTTCTTGAATCCTTTTTTACTCTTATAATGACGCTGCATCATTGCAAGGCATGCGGACGAATGCCACAATTGTTTGTCGCTGTCGCATTAGTGAATTGCTAAGTACCATACTTAACCGATAATGAAACAGCTTTCGTGCTTAATTACTAACATGACACAGTTTTGTTATAGTTAGAGAGTATGACTGGTTTCGATGAGCCAGAATGAGTCACACATTGCTATCCAGAGAATTCAGCACTGACTTTTTAATTATATGCATTTCCTTATTGAGCTACTGAGCCACTGTTATGATCGCTGTGTCTGAGAAGTTTTTTTTTGTTTTTTTAAAAATTCTTTTTCACTCCTACCGTCAAATTGCTATTGCTACGTGCTAACATAAGCAGCAGCTGTCAGATCTATCATTTTGCACACCTCTTGTCGGCATTAATCCGTGTTGTTTGGAAGAAGAAACTGGAATGTGAAGTCACTGATGGTTCTACAAATGATGTTCTGGTTGTGGCACATTCTTAGGTGTGGTTTTGTGTGGTTTGCAGAGAGGCATAAATCATTTCTTGTCATTCTCGATAAAGGCTTGGTTTGAGATTGAACTTTCAACAACACTGTTCCACAAAGACTCATTTTCATGTTGGTTAGCTAAAGACATCCAGCATTCTCATTCTATTCTATTGATAGAATAGACTGAATGAACTATTGTAGGGCTTCTCCTCCTCTTCCTTAGACTGAGGAAACCAGTTCAAAGTCTCAATGTGGAGCTTTGCCCAGCATCTCATTTATTTCTGTGGGCCTAGACCGCATCATAACTGCATATATGTCTTAAATATTTTGCTGTATGTACGTGTGCAAATAGGAAAACAATTTTTATGTTGTACGAAGTAATTATGACAAAAAAGAAATTTTCTTAAATGAGCGAAATCATCTCAGACTTGAACATAAAGGGCATTTTTTTCGACAAAAAATGTTGAATCTCACCAGAGGACTTATCATTTTTGAGACTGGTAATTACATCCTTCACTACATTTTGACTTTTAACAGTCGCTGATCTACATTTTTGGATGTTTCAGCAGGATCTGATGACAAAGACTTGTCAGAACTATGTGTGAATCAGCAGTTAATACTGCTGATTAGGATAGGATTTTGCATTCAGCTGGCAGTTTGGTAGCTGAATAAATCGAAATAATGACACATTTTATTTTTGGTAAATAGCAAGACATTGTAAGGTTGAGTTTATTTTAAAAGTCGCCTTTATTTATTTGACCCACAGAAACTTGGTCTGCTGACTGGTGACCAAGGTGAGCTATATAGATTCATGTCTCATGTCAGTTTTACTTCAGCAGTACGCTTCAGCGTTTTCCTGATGTATTAGATTTACAGTCAAAATGAGGTAGTTGCTGCTATTTACTGTAATGAAAGTACACAGAAGACATATAACCAAAATATTAAATGAGTACAAGAATAAATAGCCAATCACAATCCAGAAAACAAAAGCAAGTTTGCAAGGATGGATGGCAAGGTGCAACATGGATCAGCTAAAGCACTGTCTTTTGTCCTTATTGTTTAATTGTTATCTGACTTTGGCTTGACTGCTAAAAAAAATGCAGATGAATTCTCAAATCCGCATTTGTGTATGACGAGTCTGTCTGATGAAGTTATGGTTATAAAATCAGAATTTTAGCGATGCAGGGCAGCAGCTTGAAAGTGACTTCTAGTTTAATATGTAGTCTTATTGGGCTACACTTAAGTCTCTCTTTCGTCCTCCTTCAATTGTCTGATAACAAAAACTGAAAAATGTTTCTATGAGAACACTTACATAGGGAATACAACATATTGAGATACAGAATATGTGAGCACAGAGAGCAGGAGAGAAGTGAACAGATGGAAAGTGCCACCTGTGTGTTTCTGCATTGTGTTGTGCTGCTGTGGTCTGCCACATCGTAGCAAGCCTTTCTTTTTTGTTCTGGGATCATTTGAAGTACTCCCAGACTTTGGAGACATTGGGTTCTTTGGAAGCTTTTTAACTGAACTGATTCAGGCTCTGCTGCTGCTGCCATTTTAGAAAAATGTAGCTGCAGCTGACAGAAGTACTGGATCCAAATGTCATGAAACAATAATACATTGTGATACTGACGAAACACATTTGTTGTAATGAATTTTAGTAAAAAAAGATAAAAACAGAACATGCAGCACTTTAAAAATATTGATATCAGTGGCGACGTCATCGATTATGCCAACTAATCGTGGCAGCTCTACATCTGATCTGTTGAAATGTGGGCATGTTTCAGATTGGCAGAGAAAGCACAGGATATTTACAGAAGAGATTCGTAATGAGGAATCAACTAGATTAAAGCTGAGACACAGGATTGAAGAGGGTTTGAAGAGGAATGATGGGAAGGGAAAGGCTTGGTGATGATGAAGATTACTAGAGAGAGATTATGAGAAGCATCAGTGTCCTTACTACAGAGGTTGTCGTCCGCCGCACACGAATCGTCAGCCGTAGAGTTGGATGACATGCTGGACAGGAAGAGAAGACCACAGATAGATCAACATTACTATCAGCTAGAGGAACAGATCAACATTTCCTCTGCTCAGCAGCAGCCCTAAATCCTCTAAGCTTAGATAGTCATGCAGCATCTGCCTCTCTAATAACTGTTTCGGAGTTTGAACTGCTGAGAACTACTGAGGAAACAACCAAACCACGTTTAGCAAATACATTCACCATTTGCCTTTTTATCTACACTTACAAAACAAAGTTGACTGTAACCTTTATATGTCTTGAGTCACACAGCAGATAAAGAGTGCTGGACAACTTGTTTTCCACGTGTATACTTAACCAGCTATCAGTTACACACATAATAGAGGAGCAGAGATCAGCATTACCATCGCTCAGCAGTGACCCAAAATCCATAAAAGCCATGAAAGGATAACCTGGCATTCAGCAGCCCGTTAAACTTCTCAAATCACACAGATGACATACGAGACATATTTGATCTCAACGTTATCCTCAAAGTGTTTCATGTGTCTCAGTTATTATTGTTTGGAAAATATCTGTATGCAGGAAAGTCCCTGAAACTGTGATGAATGTGTTTCAACCTTATTAATCCTTGTGTGAGCAATTATTAAGCCTCCAGCAGGTTTGAAAGGCTTGTCATGCTTTAAAAAAATCCCCCAAATTACACCATTTAGAGCCACAACCTGTAAAAACACTAAGAATTATTATTATTATCAACTTTTCAATGGTCTTGAACTACTAATCTGTGACATGATGAAGAAAATCTAAGTTTAAAACTGTGATATTTCATCAGCCACTTTATTCTACATGTCTCATTTAAGAATCTGCCAAAAATGTAGTCTTTGCTCTAACCATATTCTGTAAAACAAACAAAAAAAATCTGCAGTCCTCTCTGCAACCAAGAAGCCATTAGCAGAGAAGAGACAAGAATTGAATTGAAATACATTTAAATTGTGAATGCAAGCACAAAATCACAGGAGAAGTAAGATTAGAATGGCAGCATGTTTTTGTCTATGCAGATATCTCCCGACCGCATTTGACACTGCGTATTCAAAGTAGTGGTCAGTTTTTTTCCCCCCAAATATGCATATTTCCGCAATCACTAATTTGCATATACAAATGAGGAAGTGTAAAGGGAGATGCCCATGTGGAATGCAGGGACGCACTCCTGCTGCTTCCTTGATGCCACAAGCAGAGGCACGAACACTGTTGTTGTCCTCTCCTTCTGATTTGTTTAGCAAATGGGGGATCTCTCGAATGGGGGTTTGCTGAGACTCGGGTGAAACCAACATTATCAGTGTTTTCCTTGGTTTGCTCATTTTAGTATTATTTAGTTTAAGTTATCAATATGTCAGCAGCTACCAAAACTTACATTCCTCTGTCGCTGTAGACCATCTGAATGAACTATTGGGTTGTTGAGCCTCTGTGAAAGTCACTTTAAATTAATTTTATGTGTTCCAATGGTAAAAAGTTTGAGGTGAACTAGGCAGTTACTCTGCATTAACTTGGCACAAGTAGCTCACTATATCAGAAACTAGAAATGGGTGATGAATTACAGAAAAAATTTGAACTCTTGACCCTGACAGTGAGGCGATCTAGTGGCTCTGTTACTCTGTTGGAGGTATTTTGCTGGTGTGGTTTAGTTCCGCTTGACTTTGGAGGCAAGGTTCACAGCAAATCAATGCCAGGTTGTTGTGAGTGTTCACCTTTTATCCTATCATGGAACAGTGCTATCCTGATGGGAGTGGTTTTTTCCACTCCTCTGATCTCGTCCATAGAGCAGGAGGGCTCACTGAATATTTCGCCTGTACCAAAAGCCTACTTTTGTTGTGGATTATATTTTCAAATATTCATTTAGTTAAGAAAAAAGTGAAAAATGTCTATCGGTGTTTTCCAAAGCTCGACAAATGCTTTATTTTGTCCACAGACCAAAGAATTCAGTTTACGACTGTAAGAGAGGAGAAAAAAAAGAGAAAGTATTCGCATGTAAGAGGCTGGAATCAGAGAATTTCCACAGTTTTTCCTTTTCTTTAATAAAATAATAAAATAAATAATAACATCTTACTCTTAAAATATATTTAAAATGTATTTACTATAATATTTTATGAATGTAGTTTTAGTATTTTTCTTGATCGCACTATAAGATAGTAAGATAATTCTATTATTGTAATGTATGTTTGCTCTTGCAGTGGGTTTTCTCTTTACGTTTTGTATGTTTTTAAAGTTTCAAAAGATTCTCCTGATCACAATGCAAGCTCAGAGGTCTTTTCTACACATTTTGTCATCTTTAGTACCTATCAAATATTTTGTCTTATTCCCATAGTTTTAGTCTATAGTTGTTAATTGTACATTAGTCTCTATTTTTACTATGCTGAGACATTTTCCTTTCAATCACTGTAAACTGCTGTTTGATTCAGAAAACAGCACTGCTGCCATCACGCTATGGAGAAATGTAGTTTAACTAGTAATGACCTTGCTTGTATTGACCAGCTGCCCAACACTGTGAAATACAACAATGCTTAATACGTACATTAATCCTTTACTCAACTAATTTATTAGTAATAAAAATCGTTTTTGGAGAAATTTTCTTTATTAAATAATATTTATGGAATACTTGTTCTGTGCCTACCTCGTCGTTCTTTTCTCTCCTCCAAGGTCAGTTTCACCAAACAGTCGAACACCTTAGGCTGTCATAGTGATGTAATGGTATGGTGAGCATCACAGTGTAGACTCGCGTCAAATGTACGGCGCAGGTTTAACGTGTGTTTGTGACTTTCCTGCATGTGGTAATAATGCAGTGTCATCCTCATCTATCAGAACTTGTGACATACGCACACATACACACACCCTTCCAAAGCCAACAGGTGTGTGGTAAGTATTTCTGAAGGCAAAACACAAACACCGACACCGTCCTTTGTTTTTTAGGTTAGATGTCACTAGACCAGTTTGTCTGCATTGTTCCTCACATTGACATGCACCAATAACTCAATTATACACACACACAACTGCATGCCGAACTAAGCACATCTCACTGCACGTAGACACACAATGACAACAGCCTGAAAATATGTTGTTAAAGACACACAGACATACGTGCAAAATGCTCATGCAAAACCAACTGGTGCGTCAAAACACAAACTCACAATGAATATGTTCGCATGCACACATTGCATAGGAAGATGTCATAAATGTTATGTGAGGAGGATATTTGTGGTATCTGTGTGACAGATGCAGTGTTTAGATGGACACATTTTTAACAAAATAGGATCAAACAAACATATATAGATGACAAAATTCATATTCTGTCTCAGATGAAGGGGTTAGTGTTAGCTTCTCTGGTTTGCTTTAGGAGTTATTTTCCTCTTACCTGGCCAGCTCTCTGGGACTACTCAGGTGTCAACCTTTGTGTAATCCTTGTATCCAAAGCATAGTTTGCTGTCCTGCGTGCCATGGAAGTGTAGGGCTGTAAGACAAATTCAGCTCCAGCTTCTCAGTTTTCATGTTGCTGTGAAGTCTGCAGGTCGACACATTTCCACTGTAGATACCAGTGATGTTAGACTCCCTGTTTCTGTTTTGCTGTCACCAGTCTGGTGTGTTTTCTCACTTGTGTCTTCCTTCTTGCCTCTCCCTCTCTCTCTCTCTCTCTCTCTGTCTCTCTCAGGTTGGCCACACCTCCCCCCCCCCACCACAACACTTTTTCCTTGTCACCCTTATCACCTCCACACAGTCTGCCGCCTGCATTGTGTTTGCTGTGTGCGTGTGTCACTGTTCATGTGTTTTTGTGCACACGCTGAGTTTTTTACACGGTTGGCTTCACTTGCCTACGTTGAAAAAAATATGTTTATGGTTATATAGCAATGGAAGTGAAAATTTGTCATTTCCTGTGTGGATATATTTAGACATTTTCAAACAATAGCTTACACACATCAATCATACTAATAATTTAAGTACATAACAAACAGCCGCTGTCGGGATCCACCGTTTATCAGCCTGGCTGACTAACATATCCATGATTCAACAGTTTTCCAATTATTGGTGTTATTTATTTTTTTACTTGTTTTTGATCAAATAAATTCATCGAAAATGTTGCACATTGGCTCTGATACCTTTCACTATCTGTAGGTTTTAGGAGTAAACACATATGTTTGTTTTCAGGGCCCATACTGCTGTTTGGAACAAATATATTTCTAGAAAAGAAAAAGTCAAAATTTAGAGTAACACAAACCTTCATGCAAAACTGTGTTGAAATGCCTTTATTTGCGTATGTTTTCACATATTTAATTGAAAGAGAACTTTTCAACATTTGTTCATTGTTGCTCGTGAATCAGAGTGATGACTACATTTAGACAGAGTGATTGGAGCTAAAGTAGCACATTTTAAAACTCATTTATTTATTTGGTTCAATTTGGTAAATTGGTTTAACAAAGAATGATGCTGATAATTACAATAATGGTAAATATAACAAAAAAAAAACAACCTCTAAATGTATAAAACAAATAAATTAAAACATTTGATGAAAGTTTTGTGTTATATTTTGTGTTATTCTAAAACTCAACTCCAAGATTTTCAGCTTTACTGCCAAAGCACAGTGGAAAAATGAATTGTTGGAACAACTTAAATGAACTGCTTCAAATGGTAATACACAATTGAATTAGGTTTATCTTAGTTAAGTTACCAAGTAATATTAGTGCCACCAGTTCAAGTTAGATGCACTTAAATCATTTGATTCTTCACAAACAAACAGTTTGCATTGCTACACCTTGAAGTTTTCAGTTTTCCATTTGTTTGTGTTTTCGTGACTCTTTAATCCTACTGGCTAACATGGCAGTTCATTTGCAGTGAAAAACTGAAGAAACATGCTTGTCACGAGGCTGAAAGAGATATACACCTAATAATCTCACTTTTCAGAAACTGGAATACAAGTTAGGAGGAGCCACAAAAGTAAACCAAAGCAGAAAGATAAATGAAATTAGTTTGAAGCAGTACTTTTCTTCAACTCGTGCTCAAATATATTTATTTCCTTCATGTCACGTTGCTGTCTCCATGCTGCCAAGTCGTCAAAGAAACAGACTCCAATGTAGTTCTCAGTTTTATTTGCGCTGCAAGGTGTGGCCGCTCGCGCTGGAGTGTGTGTCTATGTGTGTGTGGGGTCAATATTGGTGTTGAATAATCATGACTTTTCACCTGCTGGGTCACCTCCACTCTCACCTCACTTGACGCGCCCACAGATACTGATAGCAGTCTTGTCAGGTTTCACCATAACCACCAAATTGCTTAGTATCCACCATGAACATTTTTTTCCTGATAGTTTCACTTGGCTTTTGTGTGAAGCAGCATTGTGATTACATCATGCAGATTTAATTCTGACAACAGCCAGCGTTTCTGTGTAGTATCTATTAAATGTTCCCTCTGGAAGACACTTGAGCGTCTGTGGTTGCTCTGGTTTAGAGCTTTGGCTCAATCAGTGCTGATCCCGTCACCGTATTGTTATGGAAACTGCCTCTGTTTCTGGTTTCAGCCGCCGTAGGTTTATCAGGGCAAAACAGAGATGGACTTTACCAATCCTGCGAGCTTCATGGGTGACTGTTTCTTAGTTTTCTACCTCTTGGTGTGAGTGTAGTCACTTTTTGAAGGTTTTGAGTTTGCTGCCATTTATTGTATTTGTTTGAGAGATAGATAACTTCACTACTCAGCTGTCTTCACTACTGATCAACTTGGTGTCATGCCATAATTCTGGATTTCAATTTCCATAAGCTGTCTTCTCCACTGGACCTTTGTTGCTGATAAAATACTCAGGGTTTTACCTTAAAAGAGAAAGTCTTAGTGCCCTCCAAACAGGTCTTAGCCAGCACCAAGGGAAAATTACTCCTGTCAGAATGATACGAATCGAAAATAAAACTGGCAATTCAATTTTTTTTTTACCCTTTTTGTCCGTTGGACTTCCATTTGCACAAGCCTAACAGACATTCATAGGGTTCTGTCAGATAAGTTAATGCAGATTCATTGCCTTTACGTGGTGAGACAACCACCAAAATGCACGGCGAGAAAAAAACCTGGTACCTCTACAGCATTTTAGATTTCCTAACTTTCATTGAATTTCAGTACCACAAAGGTCAGCATTTAAAGCTGCACACATTATGTTAATGAACCATTTTTCTCCTCGATTTTGAGAATAAATGCCTCAGTTAGAGGGGACAAGATGAATAGATTTGACTGAGAAAAATGGTCACTGAAAATCCTTTGAGTGATGTAATGGAAACACAGTAGCAAACACTTGGCATATTTTACGTCATTGCATCAGCTCCTCCTGTACTGGGAATTGAACCTAGGCTGTCTGGATAAAGACCAGGAATCTTGATCCAGCGACGAATAGCGACTATTTGAAACTCTTCTGTCCTTCCTCATTAACTGCTAGGAAGAAGGTGCCTGTTTAAGCAAATCAAAAACACATCCAGGAATACTGTCAGGTGATTAGTACCATCTTTTAACCAAGAATGTTGCAACTAACAACAAAAATTGTAACCGAGCATTCAATTAAAAGGCCCGATCCACAACAACAAAGACCTCCTTTGCGAATTGCTAGTTGTGTCTGTTGAGGCTTCTGTGGAGTGTGAGAAAGATAAATGAGTTAGCAGGTATGTTGAATGTCTAGAAGATCTTATTTTCAGAATTTGGCATTTGAATCGGCTGCAAAAAAAAGAAAGAAATAAAGACACCATTTAACAAATGCTTTCCCAGATCATGTTCTCTCTGAGCGATACAAGTTCTCAGCTGAGGAAGTAAGTTGTATCTGCAAACCTGTTGAGCTGTACGTTAGCAATGACACTGAATGAAGCCGTGCAGTTACAGCAGGCAAACTGTGTGTCGCGTAGCCATTAACAACCCACAGGCATTCAGCTGATGATGCAGAAAATACATAAATGTGTTTTTATGCTTTGTCCTATTTGCTGCTTAGTCCGTTTTACACTGCTAGTGCTAAACAGATAATAGAACATGAATTAGACTATTGATTGGTCCATAGTGTTTATTATACAGAAAATTCAATCATTAACATTTATTTATTGATTTGGCATAGGTGATTTCCACATGTCAGAACCAAACGCACTTCTGGAATATCATGTTTAAATGTATGAAGTGTAAAGTTTAGGAGCTCTTAGAAGTAAGCAGTTTCATTCAGAGTGCAGTTAGTGGGGAAATGAATATGTTACACTTTAAACATTTTTCTACCAGCATTCCTCTCTGGCAACATTTGCAGTGACAACGTTTTACAATAATCGTAGTATATTCTTCATAGCTCTCCATTATAACAGCCTATTCTTCTGACTTAGTAGGCTGCATGTGATGGGTCACATGATGTGTCAGACTGCTGCTTTTTACGAGTGTGTGCTCAGAGCCTGATGGCGTACACCTAGGTAACAAACAACATCGATAACCATAATCGTGATACCCATTATCTCTGATTCATATCCATTGCCTTTGATTGGGGTTTAAGGTTTTGTTGAGCCAGCTAACGCAAATAAAGCCTGGCTGCGTCCAGGACAAGCCAGAAGCCATGCAATGGATTAACCCAGAGCTTTGCAGTGGTGGGCTGTTGCGTCTCCCCTTCCATCACCTGGTTGGCCCACAATTATTTACATGTTAAGCAATAAGTGTAATGTGTTGACTCACCTTGAAATTTTCTGTCTTTTTAAGTCTGACTTAATTCCACAAGGCAGGGCAGTTAGCTTGGAGTATGTGGGGAGGTGGGTGTGTGTGAGGGTAACCCCAGCTCGAGGTAGTTTACACCATGTCTGAATATGAGTGTGTATCTGAGAGTATGTATGTGAGAGTGTGTGTGTGCCTTCGTAGGTCTGTCTGTGTGTGTTTGTGTGTGAAAGAGCGTCCCGGCTGGGCGTCCAGAGCGGTCCTGGTAATGCTGAGACAGACGGTGAGCGGGTGGGTTTATTTTTGGGTCAGTGACAGTGTGTCAATGGCCGCAGATGCGTCGGAAAGGAAGGCTCTGAGATACAAGCAGACCCTGGTCAGTGTCCCTCTCTGTTTCCTCCCTCTGTCTGTCTCCGTCCATCCGTCCGTTTGTAACCGTTTATCTGTCGGGTTTGTTCCTCTGTGTCACGCGGCCGCAGTGTGTTTGCCTGGATTACTTGTGCCCCTCTTGCATGACGCACCTGTACTGGCAGCGAAAGCTACATGTGCATGGATGGTCTCCTGACTAACTTAATGCGAGTGTGCGCTTGTGAATGAACCGCTTATTGTACATGGGAGTTCTAGACATGGTGAAGACCAATTAGCTGATGTATAACAACAGGGTCACACACATGGTCACGCAACAGGTGCTCAGACACCGTGCACCTCCTTCACCCCTGATCTTGGCATGCACACATACACGTGCACACACACACGCACACTTTGACGCTGTCTTACTGTTTCCTACTTTCTCCGGCGGCCACCTGTTTGCTACCCTCTCTGCGCCTCGTTTCTTAAGCCCTGTTTGGTCTTAACGCATGCAGGAATGACTTCTCTGACATGTGTATGTTTGCATGTGTGAAAGAGACCAAGTCCCATTTTGTACACCTGCGTATGTCAACAGAATGTGTGTAATCATGTTTTTGCACGACTGTCG